ACTCCCTCGATGTTCTTGAAGGCTCCCCAAGCCGCTCGCTTCCTCCTGCTCAGCTCTGGAGCTAGGTCATTCATCATATTGATTTCACGACCTAGGTACACATAGCTAGAGCATTCAGAGATGGTCGTTCCGTTGAGCGTGAATGGGGCATCAGATACCAATCCGTTTCTCATGAACATCGTCTTCGTTAGATTCAGCCGTAGACCGATTTTCCACACGCGCAGTCGAATTCAGCCAGCATTCGTTCCGCTTGCTCGATGTTTGGCGTTATCAAAACGATGTCGTCAGCAAAGCGGAGATGGTGTAGTTGCCGACCGTCGATCTTCACTCCCATGTCTTCCCATTCCAGTTGACGCATGACGTTCTCGAGAGAGGCGCTGAAGAGCTTGGGCGAGATGGTGTCGCCCTGTCGGACCCCTCTCTTCACATCAATGATGATCTCCTTGTAGAATGGTGAGATCTTGGTCGTGAAGTTGCTGTAGAGCTCACGAAGAATCCTGATGTACTGAGTAGGAATACCCTGGTTGCCCAGGGCTTCGATAACCGCTTCTGTCTCAACGGAGTCGAAGGCTTTCTTCAAGTCGATGAACGTGAGACATAGCGGCATCTTGTACTCTCGCGATACTTCGATGAGCTTCGTTACCGTGTGGATGTGATCGATCGTGCTGAATCCTCTTCGAAACCCTGCTTGCTCGCATGGCTGTCCTTCGTCTAGTGTTCTTCCAATCCTGTTAAGGATGACTCGTGTGAAGAGTTTGTAGACTACAGACAGCAGGCAGATTGGGCGATAATTGCCAATGTCGTACAGGTCTCCCTTCTTGTACAGCAACACAGTCTTGCTGGTTTTCCACGAGGTGGGTACCTTGCATTCCGACAGGTAGCGCGTGAAGAGTCGAGCCAGAGTTTTGACGAGAACTGGCGGAAGATTCTTCAGATGTTCGGGTCTGATCCTGTCGGGACCGGTGCCGTACGATTCTTCACCGACGAGATGGCGTGTCGGACTTCGGAAGAGAGAACTGCAGGAACGACATATCCATCCTGCTCCAAGCGGTATGGTTGCAGGTGGACGTGGCTGTCAAAGAGATCCGAGTAGAAGTCGTGGATGACCTTCTCCATTGCCCTTCTGGATGCGGTGATTGTTCCATCCGGACGTCGGAGGGCGGTCATCTTGGTCTTACAGTTGGCGAAGTCGCGGCGGGCGTTGCGTATGCTCTTCCCAGCCTCTGCGGCTTCCACCAGTACTGCTGCTCTTCTCTCCTTGAGGTCTTCTTTTATATCTTCTCTGCATGAGACTTCGCAAGTTCAGACGCTCCAGCTGCGTAATTGCCTGCGGCTCGTGCGGCTCCTGGGCCGAATCAGCTCGAGACGTCTTCCAGGGGACGCTCTGAATCGGACGCTACTCTCTGACCTTCCTTGGCGCCAAGTCGTGAAGATGTGCAACAAGCCGTTCGTATTCCTCGTCGATGTTGTCGATGACAGAATCCTCCCAGAGCCAGCGAGAGAAGTGAAGTGATCCCAGTTCGATGGTCGGTCTTGGGGTCCTTTCGTTCTTACTTTTGCCAGCTCTCTCTCGCTCGCATCGAAAAGCGGACACTTTTTGCGACGAAGGAGGCGATGGTCGGATCCCGTGTAGAACTTAGGGATAACAGCGACATCGGTCAGGCAAAACCTTCGATTGCAGATGATGTGGTCGATCTCGTTATGGAATTGTCCACCAGGAGACTCCCATGTCCAGCGTAGAGAGTAGGGCTTCTGGAACTGCGAGTTACCATGGATGGTATGGGTCGACATGATAAACTCAGACAGCCTTTCACCCTGCTCATTCCACTCCGTTCCGTGAGTTCCGATGTGAAGTTCTTCAGCCGTTCTTCTTGGTCCGATCTTAGCGTTGAAATCACCGACGATGACCTTGAAGAAGGTATGATCTTCCTTGTAGAACTTCTCCAATTCCATATAGAACGCTTCGAGCTCATCCTCGTCGTAGCTTGATGTTGGTGCGTAGGCGACGAAGATTGTCAAAGCTGGAGTTGAACCACATCTTTCAATCGCAAACGTCCGATTCGGGTCGTCAGACTTTCGTACGAATCGATGTTCATGGCCAAGTGCGTGTTGACGAGGACGCCCACACCGCCAACGCCTCTGCTGCTCGCTGTTTCGAGGGAATCAGTATTCTCAGTCTCGTACACGGCGTGTAGCGGGCGATGCCTCCTTCGTCTCGGTCAGTCCGATGACGTCGTACTTGATCTTCCTGGCTTGCAACATCAGATCTTCGATGTGAGCTTCCGATGCAAGCGTCCGTGCGTTGAAAGTACAGATCGTCATCCTAGTCCTGGGCGGCCGACTTAAAATCTCCGTTGGCCCTGTGATTTTTGCAGCCTCGTCCGAGCGGTCCCAGCCGACGTCGCCCTGTCGGTGGTTCCCTCAGCTTCAGGGGAATGAGGCCCATAGTTGTTACTGTTTTCGGCGAGAAGAAAATTAACCACGTAGCTCGCCAGGCTCTGACGTGGCACCCTCCGCATTGGTACGTTTTTGGAACAGTCCAAAACCGTTCACCCCCACGCCACGATGAGGCTGCGGATAGGATTTGTGGGGGATGCTACTTACTCACTATGAAGTCAAATTTGAAAAGCCACCGGGGCACATCACTGGCTGGTGGGGATTTTGGTCGAGTCCGTACGGCACCCTCCTTTTTTTGGATTTGGGTACGACCCTCCCCCCTCCCTCCGGCGCTCTGTCCCTCCTATCCGAAGATCCGTTTGAGCCGGGGGGGAGGGTGAATAGCGACATTGTGAAAACAGAAAAAACGCGCCAAGACAATTACGACCACACTTCTACCAACTCTCAGATTTTCTCTCATCTTGCGTTGCCACCTTCTTCACGAGTTTCCAAAATCTTCCTACTTTTTCCCAAAAAAAGTTTAGCTATGACAGCGGGAGGGGAAGAGGCACGAAATGTCCAACACTCCTAGAAGGTCAAAAGAAGACACGACTCCCTCTCTCAAATGAGCAAAAGTTAGCGACCCCCTCCTCTTCTTTTAGGAGGTTCGTGAAGCGAGAAAAATCAGCTATCAAAATAAATTTTCTCAGCGCAAATGCGACCCCCCTCTCCTGGCTGCCAAATACGGACGGGATTCATTAACAACGATGTGCCCTGAGTATCGACCCCCCCCCTAACAAAGTCTGTGGAAGCAGTTGGAAAATCAATTATCAAATTTTTCCAGCCAAATACGACCCCTTTTCCCAGCCCAATCTCCCTCCCTCCCTGTTGAGGACTCCCCAACAACGATGTGCCCTGATAGGCACAGCAGAATTCGGGCTGTTTGGCTTGAAGGGGGCATTCTGCACTTTTGCTAGTTCCTTCTGCTAGTTCATGTTAATTAACAAGTTACACTTTGGTGAGACCTGTAAACTTCTGCAAGGCTGCGCAATGGTATTATATAACTCAACCACTTTGGTTACGAAAGTCACAGGTCTTCACGAGGTACCTGAGCGGCTTCGCTAAATATCTCTTGTTCCCCCAAAGTGATCCCAGAAGGTTTGTGAAAGCAAAATAAGCCTGCTTGCTCAGTTTTTCTGGGATCCGGGTAGACTATATTGATGCACAGTCCGCAGTTAATCAATGAATTCTAGGAATGTGTGAGATGAAGTTGACGGTCTTCCTAATCCTATCTGATTAGGTGCTTTATATCAACCCTGCTTTTGTCACAATTCGCCTTACTATCAGAGTAGGGGGCGTTTTAGAATGTTTTTTTTGAAACATGGACCGGATTTTCCGTTTTTTTTCTTACTTAGATTTCTTAGAACGCGTATTCCACTTGCTTGGCAGTTGACAAGAGCGGGTCCGAAATCAGAAAATAGCTATTCATTCTCTGTTCATCTTCAGAGATCCGTGGAGGTGTCGGTAAAACCCAAATGCTTTTTCTCTGCTGTTGTTTCAGATGTATTTGTTTCGTCCGTGTACCCGGTACCCGGGCTTTGCAGTCGGGAACCTACGCGTGAATCAGAAAAATACATATTTCTATTTTTTTCGCACTAGGCAGGTGAAAACGTGGGCTGCTACTATTTTTTCACAGATTGTTTGTAGGTGGAGCAAGCCTCTGATTGCTTGCTCGCCTTTGTTTGACCAATTATGTGCTCCCACAGGGGAAGCTTCCCATGTCAATTATCATCAGGTATTGCGAGGCTTATACATTATTTTGGTAGTTGAATCGATTCTTTTCACATACAGTATAGTAGAAATGGTAGGAAAGATGGACAGGAAAAACGCCCATTGGGTCAATGATCCCGCAGAGTACTGAAAGGAATCAGAATTTAACAATCGCCGCCCGTCTTTTCTTTAACAGAGGAGCAGAAATCCACCAGAGTTCCAGCTCAAGTAGGAGGCAGTTAGTGGTCTAGAGAAGCAAGTTCGAAACCAAATCCCACGAGTGTGAGTACTGTAAAATAGCTGGCTGATTTCTATAACCCCCGTCTCAGATAATCAGTCTCAGATACCCACTGGAATACTCACGAGGTCGTATGTTGTCGTGTGGCCATTTCCTTTGATATAGGTTTTGGGAGCGTTCTTCGATGGACTAGCGCATAATGCATGTCCTATTTTTCGCTAGCCATTCATTGACCATGTCCAAATTACACGCATTCAGACCTGCTCCATTGCTCACGACTTCCTTTCCTCCCTATTCTCCCGGTGCTATTTTCGCTATACGAACTCTCACGGGCACCTTCAGCTGATTCGCTTTCCTTCTCCTACTTGCTTATGAATGCGTCCCTTACACAAATGAAGTAGTGCTATGAAGATTTCTTTATTTGCAGGCAAAGAATTTGCCAAGTTTTCTCCGTTTTCGCCAAGTTAACCTTGTGCATACCCCGTTCATTTTGATATTTATTGGTCTGCTACAACATTTTGTTACCTTGAGGACTTTTTTGATGTCAATATGCTATAAAGAGATCTGCAATATTATAGAACTGTCGCTCAAGTGATACTCCTCCGGCTCTTCCACAATGACTGCTGACGATCGGCGCCCGCGAACGGGTAAGCAGGAAGCGGTGCGTGTAATCGTCCGATGTCGTCCATTGTCCGAAGTCGAAATCGCACAAGGGCATCAAAGGTTGGAGATTCGCATGATTACAGTTATGTTAGCTGTGGATGTGGGTCGCTGAAGTTGAAGAGTTTGAACAAAGCGACAACAAATGGTGGAAACCGGGCTGGCTCAGCGCCAAACCTAACCCCACTATTCCTTGACAAGCCACAGCATCCGCAGCCAACAGACTGTACTGTCGATGAGATGTCTGATTAATTCTAGCTATTTCAGTATCGTCTCCATGTATCCTGAGCGTGGACTTGTGGAGTTACGGAATCCAAAGGATCTGCAAGAGCCATCTAAAGACTTTACCTTTGATGCTATTTATAATGAAAGGTATCATTCAAAGCAAATCAGAAAAAAACGATTAAAGGCATAAGGCACGGTACTAGTACTTAGTCTTACTACGTCTTAAATAGTAGCAGGGGCGCTATATCGTGGCAAAATTGCAAAAAATCGAGGTGAAACGGCCAGAAACCTGCAAGAAGCTTTCGTTCTTCAAGACTGAGAAAGCAATTTTGGACGAGTTCCGTCGCATCGTGCCAATAACCGCTACGGTAGATACGGCTGCATGTGTGTACTCATATATCCATGCAGCACCGCAGCCGCTTCATATCAATCCCTTCGCTTCATATTGTACTTCGCAAATGAAGCGATATGAACATCAGCATGGATCGGACATTAGTGGGCAGGCGGGCGCGGTGGGCTGTCAGGTGGTGTATTATAGCTTAATAGAGCGCTATAAGGGTGCCTTCCTTGGAAAAGGCGCTATGCACCTCCTGACCAGGGGCGCCGAATTCTGTCTTGCTAGGCCTATTGATCCTACCCGTCTTGGGGATTTGGCGCGCCGCTTGCCTTTAAAGGAGAAGCCTCTGACATTCCAGGATCGTGGTAGCATTTCACTAGAAGCGTGAACTGTGGAAGTAATTACAGTGAGCATTCGGTGCACAGATCAAAGATTCCGACTTGTGGAATTGGCGTAATGCCAATTAGCCAGCAGGTGACGACGGGAAACAGATCATGAAACTGTTTTGAGCCCAGGGTCTTATAAAGGTTTTTGATACCTGCATGGCTGGCCCATGATCTAATCTGGGCAATAAAAAAACTGCTTAAAAACCTGTGGATGTCGGAGGTTGTTCAAATAGTCAGTGAAAGGAACGGCAAAACTATAAGGAATGGCCTCCACCACTTCAATCGTTTTCCCCTGGCGCTCAGAGGATTTCCAATCATAAAAAAATTCTGCGAGCTGCCCATAGAGAAGGCTCCGCGTTGCGTTACCTTCCGTCATCCGTTGGCTGCTGACGATTAGGTAGCGGGCCGTTCCTGCTTGTGCGGAGATATTTTGTTAGGAATTAACGAGCCCCTCAGCTTCCTCCCTATTTCTTCCTTTTGGCTAGGGATCCATACCCCAATAGCAGCTGCCAAAATTTTTTTTCAGCCAAGAAGGCCGAATCTTCTTTGACGCCCGTTTGGTGTGACGGTTTTCCTTCCATACTTTCTGTGCTGTCACCCACTTAACCACTCTCCAATAATTTCCAACTGACAATAGAAGTGCAGTGTACCGTATCCCACCTAATATGGCCACGTTTGGGCATCCTGCCAAACGCTTGCCGTAGACACATCACCCGTCAAACGACCACCGAATGCACACCTGGCAGTTTGCTTTTGGTTATTCCTTCGCTCTCTTTCAGCTGGGAAAAGGCTATGGTGATCGGCTGTAGACGTTCATTTTACAGAAGCACATTTATGCATGCAGAAACTTCTTCGAAGGCCCTCTTTAAGGGACCTTGGCGGCCAATACTTCATGCTCATGCATTTATGAGTTCCATGAAAAAGTGGCGCTATTTTTAGCCATCAACTATCATCATTATTACCAATTTCAGTTCAAAACAGCTCGATCTGTATGACGAAACGTTTCGAGACTTAGTCGATTCAGTACTAAACGGGTTTAATGGCACCATATTCGCATATGGTCAAACTGGTACTGGTAAAACGTACACGATGGAAGGTGAGTGGCACCTTATTCTGATGTAGTGGGTACCGTGTGAAATTAGCGTTTCTAGGGAAATCCTCGATTCCTGAAGAACGTGGTGTTATATTCAACTGTTTCGAGCACATATTTCAACACATAGCTCGGTCACGAAATCAGAAATATCTTGTTCGAGCTAGCTACTTGGAAATTCTATCAGGTCAACTTCAATTTGAAGATACAGTTCTGGCGGCTGTTCGGCCCGGGGGTGGTTTAGCTGGTTTGCTAGTTGCTTCTGTTAGCTTCCATTAGTTGACAGTCTCGATTCTATGAGATCTGTCAGGTGCTGTCAAGCTGCCAAATGGTACAAATGTGCGCTTTGGGTACCAATATGAAAAGCCTTTAGCAAGAAGGCCTGTACACGCATGGCTGAGAACGATTGGTCCCCCCACAAAGCCGCCGAACTGCGCCCATTTCTGGTTTAAAGACAGTGGACACGATGACTGGGGCGAGCGATAGCTGCAAATGTTACTGGTGGAGGCTGCAAGAGGGCGTTTCGTCTAAACCCACTCAGCCCTCCCACCAATGGCATTGTTGGGAGGGCTGAGTAGGTTTAGACAAAATCGTATCCACTGCCTTCAAAGGCACCGTTCACGCTTAGTGTTCGTTCGGGAACATAGAGTGTTTATGTCCTCCTCTTTCATGCGCGCTCCTTCTGATGTGGTGGAACGGAGGCGCATAGTTGCCTGTCTCCGCCTACACGGTCAGCGTGAACTGTGTAATGGAGGTGATTATGTCTGGTTGAGTTCACACTATAAAATTCCAGGAGGATCTTCGCGATTTACTCAGTAAAGATGATCGGGTAAAATTAGAGTTGAAAGAAAAGCCTGACGTCGGAGTCTATGTGAAGGATCTTACGACGTTTCTAACGAAATCCGTAGAGGAAATCGAGCGAGTGATGGCTGTCGGAAATGCGAATCGATCGGTTGGGTAAGTTTTTCTTGGGATAATTATCGCCTTTCTTTTTTTGAAACTTTTTTGAAGATTTTTTTTCTACGCTGCCGGCAATGTAGTACGAGCAGCTCACGTGGGTGCTTTTTTCAGACGAACGAACATGAACGAACATTCGAGCAGGTCACATGCCATTTTCATAGTCACTGTGGAGTGCTGTGAAACTGATCCAGATGGGGAGAATCACATACGGTTAGTGGATTTGAAGATCCATAAGCTTCTACTTCCACTGAAAGCTTTTCAGTTATCTTTATCATTTCGCATGTTATTCGTGTCAGAGACATGGTACAGTACCGAAAAGAAAACATGGAACAACCCAAAATTGCATTTTTTACAGTTCAGGTTTTTACAGTTGATATAAGCCAAAAATAGTGGAAAATTACTTGTGCAAATTCAAAGGCACGCTCCTCGACTGGCTGAGAAACCCTTTTCTTCGAGCTATGTATCAGCCTGGCTAGCAGGCAGCGGTTGCACCACATTCGTGACGTAGAAGCGAGGGCTGAGGGTGCTCAGGCCTAAGTTTCTCTCAGAGGCCGAGCGCCCTCAGCCCTCCTTCACTGGCCCCACCCATCACTCTGTGGATGTGTAGGGCGAGCCAGAATAAGGGAAGACCGGCCAAAGAACGTAGGCAGGGATAGTTTTGGAATTGCAGCGTCAAATCACTTGCGGAAACAGCCCTCCGTTTTCGCTGACTGTGTCAGCCGGCCCTGTTCTCGCATCATGTCATGAATGTCGCTATCATGTCGTACAATATTGCACTGGACTCTGTTTTGAGCACCATACTTTCTTTTCTTATTTTTCTTATGTTTTTTCTGCTTTTATCTTCAGTTGTGGGTTTCTTGGCACCTTTACGTACCTATTTCAGCCTCTTGGCAAGCACTGGTTGCGAGCTCTTCTTTAAATTCAGTAATGGGGTCATAGTCTGGCAATTTTCTTTTTGTTCAAGGCTTGCAGGCAGCACAGTCACTTTACTTTTTACTTGATACATTGGCATCTCCTTTCCTCACTGCTCAACCGATGGTGATGGTCATGCCGATACAGACGGTGAGGCGTGGGGGTTCGAGAACACCAGCTCCCCATGGTATTCCTTGATTAGGGGCTCTGGCCAGTGTAGCGCACTATTGGACTCCTCTTCCGACTCTTGCGTAATCCATGGGATCGATTCGCGTCGGCAGCAGTCCTTGATGTTTCCTTCCCATAGTCTCTGCTGCTTGTATCAGTTCTGCATGCTGACCTTACAGTGTGAACAGAAAACGCGTCAGAATCCCCATGTGGCCTGGGAAGTCTTGTCTCCAGTAATGGTTTGACCCTGTACACCTCAGTGCATATGACCGGAAATCAGGCGCTTTAGCACGAAATGGATGTCATGTTGTTTAGAGAGGGCCGAACCAACCACGGAAACAAATCCCCAGCTGTATCTCGCCTCAAGGTCAATTTCAATAGAAATGTAGCCCGAATTTCGAGAAGTGGGATCAGTTGAGAGTGACTAGTGCTTGAGATCAGGTGGCGTACTACTCTGTTCCTGTTCACTCTAAAGCATCCCCTATCCAATAATTATTTTCTATTCACCAGTTGAATTCCTGAGGTGTCGTGTTTCAGAGTAGGCCGCCTGAATCTTGTCGATCTAGCTGGTAGTGAACGGCAAGCGAAGACTGGTGCCACCGGGGAGAGGTTCAAGGTGATAAATCGTTGGCTTTTTTATCTCGACCTTTTTTGGTTTGAATCCTATGAATTTTCAATTTAGGAGGCGACGAAGATCAATTTGTCATTGTCAGCCCTCGGTAACGTAATCTCTGCCTTAGTCGACGGCAAAAGCACGCACATTCCGTACCGTGATAGCAAACTGACTCGACTATTACAAGGTCGGTTATTTTGATTTTTATTACACTTTGTTTTTCAATAGCCCCATTATGCAGCGAATTTATCGCACACGCTGTTTAAAAACAGCTACCGTGCCTATCCAATTCGTGGACGTTCTTCAACCAGGTAGTCTTCTCCGCGCTGTCTCTGGGGCAATGTCTCAGAGACAAAGCCGGACTCAGGGTTGTTTCGCGCTCTTAGTAAAAAAGGGCGCTGCGGGTCTCATAGATTGGTAGTTTCCACGCCTCCATAGATCCTCCCGCCCACTGAACGTTTACTTTATTTTCAGTTGACGAGCGCTCAGTTGTTGCTCGGTGGAGTGGTGGGCATATATTCGAACTGCTGCCCATTTTGCGTCTGCGCTCATGCCTGGTCTGTCTTATAGCAAAAATTCAAAGCAGACCTTACTTATTCAGGGCGTCCGAGTGCAGCAGCGCTATGACCTGCCCTAGGCACGCAACATGTATAGCAAGGGCCGCATCAAACTTGACTGATGGCGCCGATGCTTATGGCCACCTGGTTGCTGCTCATCAACGCAACTAGGATCAGCTTGACCCCTATCCCATCTATAGTTGCAGCATGATAGTTTAAGCCACCCTTTTAATAACATGTATTTGCAAACTTCAGTGAAGTCGCCTCGTTTCAAACAATTCCAAGGCAGGACGACTTTGAAAGAGACGCAACTCAAAAACTCCAACTTTTATCGAAAATACCGAAATAATTTCAGCTGAACCTTTTCAAATGATTATTTTTTTTTTTTTTTTTTTTTTTTTTTTTTTTTTTTTTTTTTTTTTTTTTCAGACTCGCTTGGTGGTAATTCGAAAACGGTCATGGTAGCATGTATAGGACCAGCTTCATATAATTACGAAGAAACGCTAGGTAAGAGGAATTTTCGAAAATTTTTTTCGTTGGAGTTTTTCCATGGGAGGAAGCCAAGTAATTCTTCTGTGAATTCGATAATGCTTGTCTTAGGAACATTACGATATGCGAATCGAGCAAAGAACATCAAGAACAAGCCGAAAATCAACGAGGATCCGAAGGATGCGATGTTGCGAGAGTTCCAGGTAGGCTTAGAGACATGATGCAACATTTATGCCCCAAATGACCGCAGTTTGGAGCTGGAGGCAGAATGGGTCAGGTAGCTTACCAAAGGGGCAAGTCGCATGCTAGGCACGAGCATGACATCCGTTCAGGGCTAATGTGCGACCCACCCCCTGTCACAGACGCTGAAAAATCTTCTGTAGCTACTAGCATTGCCTTCAGACACTGGGGCTGAAACTGTGCGGGGTTAACATATCCCAAGCCTCTTACAAAAATACTTGCGATTGATTACAGAATGAAATCATGCGGATTACGAGCCATGTTGGAAAAGCGGTCAAAGCGGAAAGGACGAGGAGGAGGTTTGCTCTTTTGAACTTTGAACGTTTCTTCCTACTTTTCTTTCCTCCTTCGTCCTCTAAAACTTGAGGTATTTTTCAAACAATTTCAGAGCTCGACGAGTCTCGTGGCGAAGAGTATTTCAACGAGCAACAGCGTCAAATTGCTGCCGATCGTGAGCATGCTCTCAAGGATAAAACGCTTATTCAGGAGGTAACTACTTCTCTCATCTTATCCATGGAATAGGAACCCATAACACGCAGTTCAGAGGCGTAGCCCACATTGAAGGTGTGGGAGGAGTTCGGCGTACCCTTATGCCTTCCTTACTGGTTCGTCTATCTTCAAAATGGAAAAAACGATGAAGAGCAGGCACAATGGTCGCCCCTACCATCGGCGTGGACTTTGCTTACTGCTTGCTTCCATTTACTGCTCTGAAATTTGGGTTCTCACTTGACTGGGAAGTGGATCGTGCCATATGAGAAGTGAGCGGGTCTGCAGGTGTAGAAGCGTGCCGCTTTCTCCATTCGGAATTGCACAGAAATGAGGCTGGATTGTACTGTCAGGTGGAATTCGTTTGGGTCTCCGCCCCACATCCGCAACTGCTGCATGTGCGCCGAGGTCGCCTAGCGAATAACATGACCGGCAGGTTGTCTAATGATTCGTGGTTGCCCT